CTCCTCAATGCTCGGATTTCCACCATTGTTGGACCTTGAACTTCAATCTTTCATATCTTTCTCTTTTTAGCTCCAATTTGTAAGTTCTTTATAAGAAAATTCAACTTGTTGTGTAGATTATGAATACGTTATTTTCTTTTTCAAAATGTTGTCGAAAAATTATTTGAATTAATCTTAAGATTTTTGTGTTTTCCATTTTTATTCAAGAAAAGTACTTCTTGTTGTTATATCAATCTCCTACTTAGATAACCTCGATACCTAGTATAAATGATGTTTATTTGTGAAAGAAATGAAACTTTAAATGTTGGGAGTATTCACTTTAATATTTTTCTTTGTTGTTATTATTTATGATCATGCCTATTTTATATGTAAACTAGTAATGAATTATTGTAGTTAATTTACTCTTGGGTCTTGGGCATGAATTGAGTTAAGGAATATGGGTTGACCTTGTTTGACTAAAAATTAGGAGTTTAAAATGATGAAATAGTAATTAATAATTGTTAACCATTTCATTAATTAAATTTTTGGAAAATTATTTCTAACTTGTTGATAAGTCCGTATTTTGACACTCATTTGATGTGTGTTGAGATCGGATTTTGATGGTTTCCCTAGCTTTAAGGTGTTGCAAGTCTCAATTTTAGCTCAAGTTATGTTTACCGGGCGTTGGTTCGAGTTTTGTGTTGTTTGTAGTCAAAATTAGGGAATTTGAGCTTGGTACCGGCACTTGAGGAACAATTGGGATGATTTGAGAAGCATTTGAGAATGATTTGATAGCTTTGGAGGTCACCGGAAGATTCATGATGAAGATTTGAAGGAAAAAGAGCTCTAGGATTGGCTACGGGGTCAAAAGAAGATGAATGAAGATTGAAAACGACGATCAGAATGACCTTCTGTCAATCGTTCAAGCTTATCTCTTTGTAGGAACAACCAATGGACACGATTCAAGTTGCATAGGAAAACAAACTTCAAGGGATACAAATCATATGAAGACATCTTTGCGAGAATCTGAGAGGAAGAAGGTGAAAACAGACGATGAAGTCAGATGATCTCTGCTGCGATTTCAGAAAGACATCTTCCACTGTTTTGATCATATCTCTTGATTGGATGATTCAAATCACAGTCGACAAATTGAGCTGGATAGAGGACTTCATTATCTACAACTTTCAAGAAGAAAATTTTGTCAAATTCGGAAGTTAAGTAGGCATGATCGTGCCCTCAAAGTCAGACACGATCGTGCCTGAAGAGAAAAGCACCGCGAAGTTACTGCCTGCCAGGCACGATCGTGCCTGGAGGGAGGCACGATCGTGCCTGTACAAAATGCGCGTTTTTGCTCCGGAGGCACGATCGAAGGCACGATCGTGCCTGGCATCGTGTCTGGCTCCGAAAATCCTAATTCAGCTCAAATTTCACCCGATTTTTCTATTTAAATAGCCTGTAAACCCCCGTTTTCGAGGGGGAGTTTAGAGAGAGTGCCTAGCACGAATTTTAGAGGGCTTTTCAGCCTTGTTCATTAATCTTTTGGGATTCTTTGTAAGTTCCACCTTTTTAATTAATGACAATTAGTTCTTTTTATTCCAATTCTATTGATTCTTCAATTATGAATTGTGAGTAGTTTTAATTAGGGATTTGGGATTGATGAAAGGGTTAATCATGATGTATGGCTAGATTCTTTTTGGTTTAATTTCATGAATGCCGTTTAATTTGTGTTTGAATAATTTAATTGATATCTTTTGTAATCTAGAATCGCGACTAGAATTACAATTGCATGTAGAATAAATTAAGAGAGATCTAATTTGTTCTAGGATACATTCACACACACTTAATCGTTCGCTAAGAGATTAGTAGCGATTAAGGGGCCGTAAGATCGCTCGTCTTGGCAATAATTTAGGATTCTGTCGCATGAGAGATCAGTCTGGTCCCCTAAATTATTGTACTCTACGCCGCGAGAGAGGTAAGAACTTAGTAATGAATAGCTAGGCTCATTAAAATAAATTTCATGTAATTAGGCCTGATCTGCCAGAAATCTGGTTACCCCGGAATCGATCCCTGTTCCCTTCGTCATTAATTAGAAAGAATCCCCTAATTTAATTGTTCGCATTAGTTTTATTTTCCCAACCAACCAATCTCGCACGACGCTTTTATTTTATTTTCTTTTTAATCGCTGAATTTAATTAATTCTTGATTCCCTTTTGTCCGTCCCTGTGGAGACGATACTCGTACTTACACCACTATATTACGATCTATTTTAAGTGCGAGAAAACACACATCACTTGTCTATGAGATTAGAAAATAAATTAAGACAATCATATTGAAGCACATTAATAAGGCCCAGAAATAGGATATTTTAGTGAAAGGGTTTACATCTTGTTTATGAGAGATAAGTTCAAATTGCTTAAATAATGAGTGTATTTAGTTAGTGAATTTAGCTATTTTTATTAATTACAATATTGGAGAATTATTTCTATCTTGTCCATGGAATTTGAATTTAATTCAAGCCAACCATTTGAACACATTCTTGAAACCTATAAATGGGATAAATTAGTGAAAGTAATTTAAATATTGTCAATGAGAAAAGAAAATATCAGTTCAACTTTTAGTTATAAATACTACTAATTATTAGGTCCAAGGATGTACCCATATTTTATAATTGAATTCATTGCCCCTCTTTGATCAATCTATTTAGAGCTTAATATTATTATGGGAAAAGTACGGAAAAGGTACTTGTGGTTGGGCCCGTTTTCAGATAGGGTAATGTGTTTCATTCTTTATCAAAGTGGTTCACGTGTTTAAATTCCGTTATCACAATAGGGTCACGCCGTTAAAAACGTCTGAAAAAGACCGTTAAAAGTAACTCCAATTTTCAAAAGTGCCCGAAAAATTAAAAGAAAAATACCAGAAGGTGCGCCTCAATAAGACGACCGCTAGACCATCTTTTTTTTTTCAGCCACCCTTGTCACTGGAAAGTCCACCTGAAAAGTGATATTAGCAAAATCATTTTTAACAAATAATTCAAACAGATTTGAAAAATACAAAGCCGAAGGTGGTTTGGAGGTCATCTTGATGAGACGCACCTTTCGGTATTTTTCTTTTAATTTTCCGGGCACTTTTGAAAATCGGTGTTACTTTTAACGGTCTTTTTCAGACGTTTTTAACGGCGTGACCCTCTTGTGATAACGGAACTCAAACACATGAACCACTTTGATAAAGAATGAAACACATGACCCTATCTGAAAACGGGTTCAACCACAAGTACTTTTTCTGTACTTTTCCCTAATTGAAATCTTATGAATTTGAATGTATTACCACAACAACCTCTTTTGAATACCTTCAAAATGAACGTTGTACACTATTTTTCAAAATGTAAGAGTTGGAGGACTTACTTACTTAACGAGGTCAACGACCTTTAAGAGTCTGTCTGGATATAGGTAAACCTTTAAGAATGAAACTCAAGGTTGGTAAAGATGATAAAGAATAGTTTTGGGTAGATTTGAAGCATGAGAAACTCCCAAACTTTTTATCTATTTGTGGACTATTGGTCATGTTGATCGAATTTGTCCCTTGGAGTATAAAAAGGAGAAGGCTGAGTTTATTAAACCAAATGGTCCATGGCTTAGGGCAGTGGTGATAGAGGTAAAGTCACGGGGGAAAGCAAGTGGTTAGTTAAGGATGGAATTCATGTTGGTCGAAGGGAGCAAAAGGGATAGGGGGTAGGAGGGGCATACTCAGAAGACATGGATGGATGACGGAATTCAAGAGTGGAACTCAGTGATGGTCATTGTGCAGGGAGAGCCTGGGTGATGAGACAGATGCTGGTAGAGTAGGGGAGCTGAAGAGGAGGTAGGGGTGTGCACAGTTCATTAATCTGATCGAATCAAACCGATATCAAAAATTTCGCTACGTACCAAATACCAAACCGAATTTCGATTCAATAACCGACATGTATAATTTTGAAAAATCGTTAATCGGTTCGGTATATGCAAAAATATTTTGGTTTTCAATATGTACCAAAATAAATAAAATAATAAATATTAAGTACGTAATATATTTATATATTTTGGCCCGGAATATATAAATATTGGTATATTTATATATATTTCGGTATGTAATATATATTCATATATAATATATTTAATTATTTATATTTAATATAATACATTTAAATATAATATATTTAAATATTTATATTTAAACATTGAATGCTTATTTGGTATTTCAGGTTTAGATTACCAATCTAAACATGCCCGCCCCGCCCCAATTGGAAGACGGGGCGGGCCGGACCCGCCCCGAATGTCTCAGGCCAGGGCGGGTCACTGTGGGTCGTTTTTTTTTTGACATCCCTACTCAAAAGTAGTTTAGACAATCAATCAAATGTTTTAATTTGGAAAGCCTCCAATAATTTGTGATAACTTGTGACTGGACATAAAAAAAACTTCTTCATTCCTCTGAGACAAGATGCTCGGGGATAAACTTTTCCTCTTGAAAGGGTTAAACTCCGTTTTACTACAACGCCGCAAAAGCGTTTATCAGAACTTTCAGATTTTCTCCTGGCAGGCTGGCAGCCACAGGTCAGTTCGAGACACTTACAGTTTTTTGTGTTATAATAAAACAATAGTTTTACTTTATCCTTCATTAGTGTTTATGTTAGATAATCATCCAAATAATTTTCACCTTTTCAGTTACTCTTTAAAATAGAGTATGATTTTTTAAATTAAAACCAACTAACATTCTATAACATTTAAATGATTCTTGGTAATCACACCCAAAACACTTACCCCATTACAATTTCAAAATGAAAATTGAAAATTAAATTTAAGAGATACTATCATTAATAAATAGTTAAGCATCTACCCATCCCCTTTCCCTTTAGAATCCAAAGTCGACGCTTTTAAGTTGTCAATCGCATTGAGATTAGGTCCTAATAAGTCACAAATAATTATTTGGTTCTCACATTTAATTGATTAGCGAATTAGTCGACCATATTTAAATTACAGAAACAAATGGTTATAACACAATTAGGCTTAAATAATGTGTATGAATCGAAATTAACAAATGCATCCACATTTTAGTGTGTGAAATTATTGCACTACATTTTTCATCTATGTATGTACTAGTTTACGCACACGCACAATATTGCTATGTATATGTGTGTATATACTTATATCTACATATGCATACTAAAACAAATACTCATGTGCTATGGTGTTCTATTTGCATGATTTATCACTCATATGTATGTTATGTGTGGTGTAGCGGCGGAAACCAATATCATGTATGGTGGCAAGCTTGATGTTTTTATGTTTTTCTACAAAAGATGGATTGTGGCAAACTGAATCTTGTGGCAAACGAATAACCTTAACCAAGCACATCTTTTCTAATTCTGGCATTGCATGGAACTCCGAGGGAAGATCTATGACAAACTCTCCATATTCATTTGTGATATTTGTCGCCCATGATTCTTCCTTTAGCCCACCGCAAAATACACTGACAAAAGCACCTAATCATATTGTGAAATGCTTTAGTAAACTATAATTCAATATAAACTTTATAGAAAGCTCCACAAAATTTCAAATAAGACCTTTAAATATAAGACTTTATAAAAAGCTTATTGCATTCGTGGAGTAGTGCCAAAGCTGCTACCGCTTCTTGAGCAGAGTTGCACAGTAACACCTATCATAGTAATTTATATCTTAAGATCTAGGGGCACACTCATGCATGCAAAGGGTTGGGGGCCTGGATGTGCCCCTGCCCATGCTTTTTCTTTAGTTATTACCTTATAAAAATGCCCACAAAATTTACTTTACTTTTAGTATAGTAGTGTAAAATGCTTTGTTCCTCCTTTTTTAAAAAAATAATATGTAAGAGTCTGTATGATAACATTTTTCTCCAACATATCATTCAATTCTTTTTTTACGAAACGCTAAAATTTTGGTTTCGTGTTAAGAATTATGTTTTAAGCAAAATAAATTAGATTGAACTTATTTTTCTACCAGGATTTGGTGAAGAAAACTATTTTAGTTTTTCCATATAATTTTTGTTTTTTATTAATAAAATATATTTTTAATATAGTTTTGTAGAGCTCAATTGTTTCTTTCAATTGAGTCGTATTATCCACAATTTCAGTAGTTTCAGTATATTTGGCCGATTCAATAAATATTAGCTTCGCCAAAGGGGGTTCACCACTTTGCCCAATTATCATGTCCTATTCCGAAGGCACAGAAAGTTGCATCACAAAATAAAAGGTATGAAGAAACACTATATATAAAAATAAAAATAAAATGCTTCGAACCAGGTTTCCCTCTTGTTAAGGTTTAGGTATCCACTGTGCTTTGGCTTTCACGATTGATGCAACAAGTGTTTCCTTGATTTTGAACATCCAAGGCTAGTTACGGTTATGGATTTCATCATGTACGGGAAGGATTTTTAATCTGTAGATGATATTATATCTAGGATATTGGTGATTGCGCTAATTATGGAATATACACTTGTTCATGTGTCAACAATGATAGCATCGACCAGAATTCATGTGTGGCTTGGAAGATTGGGTGCTATTGACAATGTAAAAACGGATCTGCTTTGCAAATGATGTACGGCCACAGAAAGTGGTTGGGGTTGTGTTGTTGCTTATGGTTGTTGCTGAAGATTATTTGTTATGATCAAGTTGTTTATTTAATTTTGCATTATTACCTTTTATGAAATAATTTGTAATTAATAGATTAGACTTTAAATGGACAAGAGCCACATTTGTATAAAGGGAATCTTTCAACAAGAACTTTTAGAATAGCCGCAGGGCACTTGAGCAAATGTTTCCTCTTTACGCTAGAATAGAAACTTCCTATTGTGCGATTATCTTTCGATCATTATCAATGGAGTTCTTTCTGTGTTGAATCATTTTGTGTGCATCCCTATCCGCTGTATTGTGTAGAAACAGGACCCAGCAGTTGCAAGTGGTTTCATAAGGAAGTTGTTCTGATGCCGAAGTGCGGCTCCTTTTCTTATCACCGATGTGTGACTGTATTGCTTGCGAGATGTGGCAGTCAGATGCCTAATATGGGTGGGGGTGCGAGTTGGAAGAGCAAAAAAGAGGGTTGGGGCGGGTTCTGTTCCGCATGCCCGCATGGAAGATTGAAAGCTCAACTCTAAGTCGGGTTCTAGGGCTAGTGATTGGGGTTTGACTTTTTATTTTGATGCAACTTACCTCAATTTTTAGAATTTTAATACGTAGTTTCCAATTACATTCAAAAACGCTTCTTGAACCGGTTTTTCTTTGGGCGTTGCTCATTTGCAATTTTCCATTGACCTGCCTTGGTTTCTAGACCAGATCATAGATTTTCGGGTCAATCTAGTGGAGACAATCTTGTTTTTTAAACATAAGATCTGACGAGACATACATCATTCATATCTGGAACATTGAAATCATATTCTTTATATTAGCACCACAATTGTTTTTATTGTTTTTATTTTATAGATGTTACTGTTTTTATCTTAGCAATGGTTACTTTTGTTTATTACTACTATTGTTACTTTATTATATTATTATTGATACATTTATTATTATTTCTTTTACTATTAAGATTATATATTAGAAAGATTAAGATCTGATTGATGTAAATGTAATCAGACCAAATTAAAAAATAATTTAAGAGTGGTCCAAATCGAAATAAACAGTTTCTAATAATGTTACACAAAAGAGAGAGAACTTTTCACATTTAAAGCCTGTGTGGTAACATTGAAATTTGATGAACCGGTTGATTATACTGAAATTTTCGAAGTTCTAGCTGAATTAGCCGATTCTGTTGATTTATGAAAAAATTATATTTAAAATGTGTTTTATTAGTAAAATAAAGAAATGTGTATATGAAAAAAAGCTAAAACGACCCTCTACAGCAACTCTAGCCAATGCAACAAAAAAAGTAACTTCAACCTTACTTGTTTGGATTATTACACAATTTAGCATGTGAAATCAAAAGTTACATGTTTGGTGGAAAAATGGTTGATAAGCCAAAAAACGGGGTTACCATACAGGCTCTTAGATAAGGTGAAGAAAATAACTATTTAATTAGAACTTATTTCTAAGAGTGATTGTTATGGGATTGATATTGTCTAAATTAATTTGCTCGGACGTGTATTGTTTGATCTGATGTATTTAATTTAAGTCTGATTAGATCAAAATTATTGGTGGTGTGATTTGAAGTGTAATTGAAATAAGCCGCGATCACGCTTTACTTTTCAAGAAAGAAATTTAAGCGAAAGGATTCTCAAAATTTGGTAATATGAGAGGATGTTGGTGGAGATTGCACACCTTCGACGTTTAGAGTCCATTTAGTAAACAATTAGGGACTATTTACCTATACTCCAAGTTTATGTTTCTCATTTTCCAATTTTATGTTTTTTTATGTTTGCATATCCTAAATCAAAGCGCGTGTTTATCAACATGCACGTCTTTGTTTTCAACTATATATCTACATTTCAAAACTATTATGTATAACAACATCATACCATATATAATGTATATTGGTCTATATTACATATATGATATATCATATATGTACTACTGCCTCTATCCCACAAATCATGGACAAATGTTTTTTTTGTCAATGACATTAAACTTTGAACAAGATTTCGCTTACTATATTTTGTGAAATTTAAAAATATTATACTTTTATGGAAGTATTTTAACCACGAATGTTTCATATGTTTTTTATAGTTTGAATAAAGTCAAATTTAAAAACATCATTGCTCAAATATATTATGATCATCATATCACTGACCAAAAAAATCAATATGGCCAAATTTTGTGAGATAAAGCGAGTATTGAGTATGATGTATACTAGTATGATATCTAGTATAGTCCCCCTATTATGTATACAAGTATCGTATCTAACCCGCCCTCGACCTGATCGTGGACCGGATAACCTGTTCTGATACCCAATCTTTATGAGGGAAGTTCTAGTCCAGTTCTAGAACTAAAACATTATCCACCCCTACATGTGTATTGTATCTAAGGGTGGACACGGGTCTACAATCAAACCGGCCATGGGTCAAAATTTTGAAAATTTCTAAAATTGTTGGATGGAAAAATCGATCAATATAATTTTGGTCTAGATCTAGATTATATTATTTTGCATTTGGCCAATCTATATTGGACTCTATTTTATTTTCTATATGAAATGGCTCCATATTTACCTTGAAAATAATCTTAAATATTTTTTGAAAATTTAACAGGGTCATCAACTTCTATCAATTTGATCCAATTAAGCCGAACCAACTGAATCCTTGGTTGATTCAAATAATGAAATGATGAATTAAAGGTACAAATTTATTGGGTTACCTAGTATAGAATTCATGCATGTTTATTATTTTCACGTATAACAATTTCACTATAAAAATGTATAACGATATCAATGATTACACATTCATACTACACGTGTATTTATGAACGACAACACATTTTTCACGTACAATATTTACATTTTTCATAGTTATACTAGTAAGCAATCAACGCCGAATAAGGCAATAAGCCTCAAGTCGAGCTATATAATTAGAGTAAATTAAACAAAAAAGTCATGTGTTATGCTCCCCCATATATTAAGCCTATTTTCATACGTTGTCATTTTTTCATGTCACCTTTTGAGGCCACTTCTCTTGATCATCACATTATTATTACAAATACATAACCAGATTAATTAGGCTATAAATCAACTTGTATAAACTAGTATAGAACATGCTCCATATATCATTAAGAAGAAACAAAAAACTTTTATATTTAAAAGTTTTATTGTTAATTAATGATGAAACAATTCACGAAAATGAGAAGTTAACTAGCTCACATGAACTTTAAGTTGTCATCATTTATTGATTTTATTAATTGGTTTTCGTTCTGTTTTCAATTGTTTAAGTGCTTTGTTTGATCGTTTAATTATAAACTATATTATTCAAAAGGATTGCATGTCTTAATACTAATATTAATAGTTAAAAATCATTTATCAACAAAAAACAATTCTTTTTAAATGTTCCTTTAAACGTGGTTGTCCTCTTTATAACTGTATATATTTGTATATTATATTTTATAATGGTATATATTTGTATATTATCAAAAAATTACAAAGTATATAATACCATAGCCAATTTTTAGTATAGTGCAGATAATAAAAATTAATCAACACAAGTAATATTCAAAACAAATTTTTTACCTTAATTACTTGTCTATCACATGTTCTTATCACTAGTGCTGTTTTTTTGTTTCTTTTGTCTATCACATGTTCTAACACAATATACTATGTAACATGTTTTGTTGTTTCTTTTGCTCATATTACATTTAGACTTTTTTAATTAACTTTTGAAATAATAATGTTAAGCAATAGCTATTACATATTTACATTGATCTAACACACATTTCACAAGAAGGAGTCTTTTTTGTTTGATCCAGTATATATATGACGAGGTTTAAATAAAATGGAGCTTTAAGATGAGAAATGAGAATGAATCCAAGCTGTTGAATTCGACTATGTTGCAGTAAAAATAACTTCAAGTTGCAATGAAATATGCAACCTAGAATGGTGCCATTTTCATAAATACTTCTAAAAAATTTGTGTTACATTTGTCTAGTGCAACATAGAACTATTTCGGTGCATCATCGTCAAATTTTAATGCAATGTGCAACTGTTGAAGTGTAACATTACACAATTTAAATCTTACTGCAACATTAAGCTAATTTTAGTGCAAAAATCATAAATATAATGATTGTGATTCATTCTCATTTCTCACATTAGATGTATTTTTCACTTGAACCAATATATATATTGTGAGCGCTTCTAATAGGAACCATGCACATGGGGTTTTTAAAGATGCGGAATGTCATTTTCTTGACATTTTCAGAGAAAATGTGTCAATTTTACACAAGATACCATTGTTTCATCGATCGGAGGTGGCGGTACTGTGAGGTGGCAAAGACGCCGGGAAAGGCCTACGTTTTGTATATGTTTTATGTATTTGATCTGTTTTCAAGTTTTTATTTTTATTTTTATTTTATTATTATTTTTTAAAATCTTAAATATTTATTTTTTATTTTTTAATGATTGTATTAAAAATAAAATATTTTTTACTATATTTATGTTTTTATTACAAATAAAAATATGATTTTCTTATTAAGTTACAGTAATAATGGTAGAATAAGAAGATAGTGTATACTCTATTCCTATTTTGAGAAGATAAACTCATAGTCATATTCCCGCATTTAAGAACCATTTACTCGTTTACTCCTACTTGAGGCTATTTACCCAATTAATTACTAATAAGATGAAATTGAAAAGGCCTGACCTAGAGAGCTAACATTAATTAATTAGGGTGCACACCTGAGACGGGACGCGGTAGATGCCGCCGGAGTCTGTTACGAGTCTCTCGGTTTTTATCGCCACCACAAGAATTACAGAGAACCACGCCATCAATGAGAACAATAGAAATTTTCTCTTCTCCATAACCAGCCATGTGCACCTCCTCCTCGCTGTTAGACAGTTGAACCATATGGTCCCCAATCGCCGGAGAATCAAGAATTATAAAAAACAATGTCAACAATATCAATGAGATTGCCACCACCACCGCAACTCTTCCGCCATGAAATTGCATGGTCATTATTTTTGTTCCTTTCACCATGAATCATGCAAACTTTATTGCACCACAAAAGAACTAATAATGAAGAATTGAAGTGAGATGACGTTTAGTTGTTTACCTTCCCCTCTTTTAGTTTTCTTGGGTTCTTATAGAGGAGATGCACGGTTGGCCCCATTTTTCAACGTCTATGGAAATTATTGTTACGGGCTTTAGCATTTAAATAGATTTTAATTAACTATTTATTAATTAAATATCAACAAAATTATTCATTATTTTAGCACATGCACATAAATCAAACTATACATCTACTAATGATCCAATCCATTGTTGAGTTGTCCATATGTAAGTGTTTTGGTGTTGGTAAAGTTATATATACTCATATTAAATTAATGGTACATAGAGATTTTAGCTTTTAAAAATTGTTAAGTATAAGACAAAACATAGACAAAGTTAAAGAACACGATTATGTACGTCTTATCCCCTAAATATGACTTATTTAGTTCAAAAGAACAAATTGAATAAAACTTCTCAAAATATGAGTGCATGAGTCATATTTTAAGAATACAATGCCTTATTATGAACTATGTCATTGTTTTTGCCAATATATATACGTATAAGCAAAAATCAAGCCATTTTTTTATCGGATGTCCCCGAAGGGACTCAAGCCATTTTTTTGTATTAAGGACATGCATTACGTATTTTAAGTATGTAAATATGTTGTTTATTTATATGGAGTATCAATGCCGATCCTACCTAAACTCGAGCCTGATTCGAACTTCATAAAAGGCCCCTATCGCAAAAACGCCATATTTGAATAGAAGTCTTACACGATAACAAAAATGATACTGAATTATTAAAGAAAACTAATTAAGAACAACTCACCAAACAATTTTAGATGCAAAAATATTAATCCAGTCTGCATAGTCTATGTCATTGATAAATTCATTCTCAATTGATAACATAGCTAATTCATTCAACCTTTCTTGGGGCACGGTTGATCGTAAATATGTCATAATAAGCTTCAACTTTGAGAAATTTCTTTCTCCATTTGTTGTTGTCTTGGGTATCGTCAACAAGATCGATCTTATATGCAATGTACGCATTAGAAAAGCTGTTGGTGCAGGATTTTGACAGCTTATTCTGCATTCAAGAGGCTTGACCACAACAACAAATGACGCATTTATTAGGTTTAATGCTAGCTAATTATTATAACGGTTTTATGTGTATTGTTATTATAGCTATTAATGTAATTAAAGTAGCAGTTACTTAGAAGGGCTGACCGACATTAATGACGACATGATGACGACTTTGAATGGCGTCATAACGGCCGAAACTGTCACCAACGAACAAAAAGGCATTGATTGCCCCTCTTATAAGTAGCATCGAGCACAATTGTAAAGGAGGCTCCTCATCCGAACTACACATCAAATCACACTCTATTTTGCTCCTTAACATCTTTCTTGTTGTTCTTGTCATATTCTTTACCGTTCTTGTATGAGACCCAATCAATATACAATCTCCATTTTAATTTGTTTTAGCTTGTCAAAATTTTGCTAAAACAATTTGGCCCCGTCCGTGGGAAATCGTTCAAGAAATCTATTCTACATGGAAGGAACAAACAACAAGATGATGGCCGAGTTTCATAAGCAATTAAAGGCAATGAAAGAAGAAATCCGACGTGAAGTGGCGGAACGACATACTACGATCCCAGGTGCAATCGGCGGTGTTCATAGCCTCTAATTTAAGAAACAATCGAAGGAGCGACACTATGACCGCTGCTTCTAGGCTGGACCTAAGCTTCACCCCGCCTGCGACGGAACCACTCGCCACCACAACGGATCCCGTCTCTCTCACATTAGGCTTGTCACCGACTGGAGACCCCGGACCGTCAAATCAATTCGTTCCCCCTCCAAATCCTAGATGGAATGTGTTCCATAACCTGTTTGCAAAACTACAAAGACGACGAGTTCCGGACCATGTTTACATCAGTAGACATGTCGACATCTCTAGGCAGAGGCAGCATGAACCTGAAGTCATCATCATCCCATCACCAACTAGACAAGAGGCGACCCAAGTGGTTACACTACACATCCCGACCATGAGACAAGCGCGGGCGGATTTGACGGACCCCATGTACATCATCTTAGAACATCTGAAGGAGATGCAAGATAAAATCAATAACATTCCTGGAGTACCGCCACCATTGGATATTGTTTCGCATACGTGTTACGCAGACTCACCCTTTGGACAACATATCACTGACGTCGAGATTCCAAGGAAGTTCGTTCCACCATCAATGAAGTTGTTCGATGGAACTTCCGATCCCTTGGAACACATTGCGCAGTACAAGCAGCAGATATTGGCCATTTCAGTCAGACCAGAGCAATGGGAAGCTTGCATGTGCAGAGCATTCGGGACGACATTAACAGGTCCAGCGTTGACAAGGTTCGTCAATTTGCCCAACGAAGGAATCGACTCATTTGCAGAACTCGTCAACCTGTTCAAACAACAATTCGCAAGCAGCTGGGTCCTCGAAAAATAGACCAATGACCTTTACCGAGTAATCCAACGACGGAGTGAATATTTGAGAGATTATTTACGCCGATTCAACAAGGAAAAAATGTCAATCCCAAAATGTGACGTCTCTGCCATCATTGAAGCATTCAGAAGAGGTTTGTATGAAGATTCAGAGTTGTACCACGAACTGACGAAATACCCTTATCGGTCCTTCGAAGATGTCCAAGCAAAGACGTTGGCTTTCATTCGTCTAGAAGAAGACTTACGATCTTGACGAAGACAAGTTGAGCATGAAGGGGGGGGGCATGGGAAATCAGAATCTCCCAAGAGGCATGATTACAAGCATGGAAAACCATATTTGAGAAATGGGGAATGAGTCGTCACTTCTGTGACGAGATAGATCAAACGATATGACTGAAATCGACATACAGGGGGACATGTCATCCAATGATAGACATGTTTGAAGAGTTGCAACACGGTACTCTTAAAGTTGTTTCATTTTTAGTTTATTGTTCTCTTTTATTATTGTCACTCCTGAGACGCGATAGACCAGACGACATGATTGAAATCGTCAGACGGGGGGCATGTCGTCTGATAATAGACCCGTCGAGATGATTGAAATCGTCTGACTATAGACAAGTTCTGACGATAGATATCTATTTAGTTTCATATATGTATTCTTAATTTATTACTTTCCTTTACCGGCCCATAAACGATCATTAATTTAAGCATCAGAGGGCCGTTGGCTTCTAGCCAATGGCCGACGGTAGCGAATTCTTTTTTACACAGGTACAATCAGCAATTAACGATGACGGAATCCTAACATACAAAGCCATACAACACATCAAAACACAATTAACGGGGGGCTTACATAAAACAGAGCCTTACAACACATCAAAACACAATTGTCGGGGGCTTACATAAAACAAAGCCTTACAACACGTCAAAACACAATTGACGGGGGGCTTACATCAGATGAAGCCTTACAAAAAATGTCAAAACACAATTGACGGGGGGCTTACAGAATTTTAGGGGAAGAAGTGAGAGTCTTCATGTACGCTAAATATGAGTATAAACACCACCGATTCTCTGCAACATTTTGGCCAAAACTACAGAAATACACAACAGAAGCATGTGCTCCAAAAAAATGACAACAGAAGCTCCAAAACATAAGGAGACAATATGAACGACATCGACACAAATCACAAATACTCATGTCGACAATATTGCTAAAAATACAAATGAAACATTATTCAAATTTTTTGCAGGATATGGACCACGTTCACGCAACCCAACTCATCATCTTCAACGACAAACGATGTTCCCTTTTCCAGCTGAAGTGATGACATCGACATGAAAGATGTTGCAAATTTCTGTCATCTAGTCGTCAGCACAATTTTGGAGGGGAGAAGATAACATGTTAGCTTTCGGTCTTCATTGATTTAGTCAAGGAGACGGATTCAGTCGGAACTTATTTGAAAGATAGACAGAGGCATTTTGTCAGACAAGTTGATCAATACATCACGTCAAGTCACTACGAGCCAGTAGATGCAATGAACCAAGATGTGAAGTCTACTTTCAAATTTTCGACAAGTTGATGCTTAATAGGTCAACATATGCATGATACACCTCAACTTCTCGAAATGGGGCAATTGTTGGTGCAGGGATTTGACAACTTATTCTACATTCAAGAGGCTTGACCACGACAACAAATGACGCATTTATTAGGTTTAATGCTAGCTAATTATTATAACGGTTTTATGTGTATTATTATAGCTATTAATGTAATTAAAGCATCAGTTACTTAGAAGGGCTGATCGACATTAATGATGACATGATGACGACTTTGAATGTCGTCATAACGGTCGAAACTGTCACAAACGGACAAAAGGCATTGATTGCCCCTCTTATAAGTAGCATCGAGCTCAATTGTAAAGGAGGCTCCTCATCGAGCACTTTATTTTGCTCCTTAGCATCTTTCTTGTTGTTCTTGTCATCTTCTTTACCGTTCTTGTACGAGACCCAATCAATATACAATTTCCATTTAATTAGTTTTAGCTTGTCAAAATTTTGCTAAAACAAAAGCATTGATTCATCCTTTCTGAATAATTCACCACATCGATCACAAATTTTGTTTCCTCTACTAAAGAAAACTTCAACATTAACACGAGAACATCCATTGCGTTAGAGAAGTCTGAAAGTTTTTGTAAGACTGGAGCAAATTTTCATCATCAACACCTTGACCCCTCGAATGAAATAAAAATCTAAACATCACCCGTTTTTTAACTAGAGAATTGACCAGCCAAGGATAGCAAGACTACCAGACATGGACTCACACCTCTTTCTCGATGGCTCAACCGTCTTTCACAGGTCGACCTCAATGTTTGATTTCATTCATCGAATCGATGGTCAACCTGACTCAGCTACGATCGTTGATAGTTTTTTTGTCTTGTTTACTTTGTTCGAAGGTTTGTTTATGCTTTTAGCATGCTACAAACGATTTAAGCCAGCGAATACATAGCCTTCCCTCCAACTACCTTGAGAACTCTTACTACTTTTCTTTTGTTCAGATATGCTAGATCTAAAATGAGGAAGCCTTGAAACTCACTTTGCGGAAAAGTTATATTAAATTTTGTGCCCCAT